AAGAGGGAGGCAGGGAGCGGGGAGCATGGAGCAGGGATGCAGGGAGCAGGGAGCAAGGGTGTGGGGAGCCAGGAGCAGGGATGCAGGGAGCAGGGATGCGGGGAGCTGAGAGCAGGGATGCAGGGCGCAGGGATGCAGGGAGCCAGGAGCAGGGATGCAGGGAGCCGGGAGCAGGGATTCAGGGAGCCAGGAGCAGGGCTGCTGCAGGACCTGGGCAGAGCGGGCATGCTGGCACGCAGGCAGCTGGGATTGTAACGGCCTCGGCACGAGGACACCGCTGTCAGGGCTGCTGGTGGGAACGCTCGGTTTTGGGGTTCTGGGGGAAAGCAAAGCGCCTCCTGATGCGGGGGCCTCTGTGGAAGTGGTCTGCGGTCTGGGTCTCCCAACTAAGCCCCCGTGTTTCTCTCTCTTGTGCTTCACAGTGAAGGATTTGGACACTGAAAAGTATTTCCACTTGGTGAGTACCCCGCTCCCGGCTGCGTGGTGGGGGCTGGGGTCTGCTCTCCCCTCCTGCCCTCCCCGGGGAGCGCTGCCAGGGAGTGGAGCTGTCACTCCAGGACGCCTGCTCCTGCGTATTTCCACGTTTCACCGTTATGGTGGCTGCGCATTAGCAGACAACAGAAGCCCCTGCTCTCATCCCCGCAGACGGGTGCCAAATGAGCCATTTTGTCCCCGGCAGCAGCCGGTCCCTGCGGCACAGGGCAGACTGGGGGCCGGGGTGTCCTCTGCTGCCAGGCTGGCTGTCGGGAGATGTCCCCCCAGAAGGCTGCAGCCTGGAAAGCGCCAGGAGAAAAGCGGTGACCAGTCGGGCTGCACGCAGCCGTCCCGTGTCTCTCCTGCGCTGGAGTCTCTGGGTCCTGTTTTACCAGTGCCTGTGATGAAAGAGGAGAAAATCTTCTCAGCCTCGCTGATATTAACTTGATTCATCTCTGTAGGCTGGCACGTCAGATGTGATGAACAAGCTGGATCAGGGCTCATTAGTTTTCTTCTGAGAGGCTCAAAGAGGCACAGAAAGGTTATCTGTAGACAAGCTTTAGTGCTGTGCGACATAATAAACCATCACCAGGATGGCAAAGCAATTGTTGTGCCTGATCCAGCTGTGGGCGGTCGCAGCACGGCGCAGTGCCGCCGGTAGCACCCTGCACAGCCTCGGTCACGTCACCCACCGGGAGCTGCTGGCGCACTGCCCGCTTCCCAGGGCCGGGGAGATTTATGAGTTCCTGCTTGTGCGCCACGCTGGAGGGATGAAGTGCTAAATGTTGCTAAAAGCTGTTGTGAAAAAAAGTGTTATGGACAACAACAGTATTTTATAGCCTGATTACTTTTTTCTCTGCTGAAGTTTCCATGCTCCAGTAGAGGACAAACACGATGCACGCACGCACGTGCACGCACCCAGTACACGCAGAGAAGGGACGGGAAACCGAATGCGCACACGTGAAACAGAGCCAAGATGGACTCAGATGGCCTGCTCGGTCATTGTGGAGCCGTAATTAACTGACCTGACCAGTGGAGTATTTATTTTTGGTTTTAAAAAGGCCAGGGTGGGAATACTGGCTGATCGTTCTTGCACTTTTTCCAAATCTGAGAAAAGCTGTTTTCCGTGGAAGCCTCGTGCGTTGCTCCTGGGAGCCTGAACTGCAGCCACACAGGAGTGCTGCACCGAGGCCGGGAAGGCGAGCAGACTGACGTGCAAAGTGAGATTGATCGTTTCATTTTCTTCGTCTAGCTCGAGAGAGGCAATAAAGAGCGCAAGAGAAACAAATGTCAGAAACCTGAATATTCTAAATCACTTTTTTAAAGCCGTATAAGGATGCACGTATAACACAGTAACTGCTTTTAAATCGAGTTTTATATGCAGTTGAAATTCTGTACTTAAAGGAAAATTCAGTGTGACGCTTCCAGAGAGGAGCGCTCTGAGCGTGTGTTTTGTATCACACCAGGTTCTCCCGACCGATGAGTCCGTGGAACATAAGAAGTCCCACAGACAGAGCCATAGGAAGAAGGTCCTCCCGGAGATCTACCTGACCAGGCTGCTCTCCACCAAGGTAGGAGATGGGTCCGTGGCAGGCGGGGTGGTGGTTTGAGGTCTCTGGAGCAGCCGGCTGCAGGGGAGGAGTGCTGCGGAGCCGGGCGCTCCCCGGGGCGTGGGACTCTTCTGTCCTGGAGCGTGTTGAGCGAGGCTGCCGGGCACCGCCGGCTCCTTGGGCTCCAGCTCACCCTCGGAGCAGCCGCGCTGCTGTGTGAAGCCGCACACCATCTCCCCAGGCGGGTCTGGGGTCTGTGCACATAGAAGGGACGCTGGGATGCTGACAGCCTCAGGGGCCGGGATGCGCAGTTCAGACCCGGACCCCAGCGAGAGATCCTGCTGGGAAAGGAGATGGAGATGCTCAGCTCTGGGAGCAGGGGGAATGTCTGTGCGATCTTAATTCAGATTTGAACTTCCCCATTCTCTGCGAGTGCTCAGCTCCAGCAGTTGGGCTCCCAGCCCATCTTTAATCCCAGCATGATGCCTCACTGGAGCAGAGATCACAGGAATGGCCAGCAGTCTCCAGGCTTCTTTGTATTTACTGTGCAGAACAATCACAGATGTGAGATCCTCGCAGTAAGAAAGAAAAATCTCAATGCCAAAAGAAATTAAACCCAAATGCAAGCTAATTATATCGCTATGCACAAACAAACCTTTCCCTCCCTGCTTCGGCATCCTCTTTCTCTTCAGATTTATCCAACTGGCAGCAAAGGGTTTCCCCTTGTGCGCAGCAGCCGCAGCCCCTCACTCTCTCACTCTGTCTCCTGGGCTCGGGTGCTGCTGCTGCTTTCCCTGCATCCATCGTTGCTTGTCCCACAGGGCACGCTGCAGAAATTCCTGGATGACTTGTTCAAAGCCATTCTCAGCATCCGGGATGATAAACCGCCTGTGGCCGTGAAGTATTTCTTTGACTTCCTAGAGGAGCAAGCAGAGAAAAGAGGGATCACAGACCCTGACACTATGCACATCTGGAAGACCAACAGGTTTGGAAGAGGAAATCTCTTCTTTCTTTCCTTCCTCCCATCTCTCAGAGCAGCAGCTGCAAAGCCGTGGTGTCCTGGACTGGTCGTTAGGTTGCTAAAAGTGGAAGAGGGACTTGGAAAACAGGAGTGGTGGCAGGGGGGGGGCGAAAGAGGAGGCCAGGCACAGGCTTGGAGAGCTTTGAACCAGCACGGAGCTCAGGGGAGCGGCGAGCGTGGGCAGATAGGGGCGGAAGGAACTGGCACACATACGGGAACTACGGGAGAAACAGAAGAGGGACGGGATGACAGGAGACAGCAGTGGTGTCAGCTCCAAGCACTGGACATCTGAGACAGTCCAAAATCATGTCAGGTCTTAAAACATCACAGAGATTTCAAAATCTGCATATTTGGCTCCTTCTCATTTGCTTTCTGGGTTTTCAGCCCTTCGGGGCACTTTTCCCAGTTTATCTCTGTAACCAAGCTGAGGCTCTGGGGTGTCCCCAGGACGCCGGGAGCTGGTGCTGTGACAGTGGCTGGTGGCTCCGCAGCACGGGGACCAGCTGGAGCCAAGCTGGGGGACGTGGGGAGCAGTGGGAATGGTGGGGCAGCAAAGCGAAGGGGGAGATGGAGCAGGGGAGAGACCAGCAGCTGTAACTGGGGAGAGCGGGGGGTCAGAGGGAGCGTCGAGGAGAGGCTCAGTGCTTCAGCAGGGACAGCCACTGTTTCCAGCCCAGAATGGGAAAGTTAAAAACAAATTTGGCTGAGATCGCAGGCATGCAGGCACAGCCACTGAGCTGCACATTTGCCTGCCCTTCATTACCTTTAATTGCCACTAGAGCAAAGGTTTGCAGCAGCTTTCACTGCTCGGCTGCTGCGGAGGGTGGTGGGAAGGGCGAGCGATACACCGAAACCGTGTTGTGGCCAAATGAGCGGTGAAAGAACTGGAGGAGAAAAATGATGAGAGAGCAGAAAAAACAGACACATGAAATGCATTTCACGGGGCCAGGCTCACCATCAGAACCAGATGACGGTTGCTGTTGGGGAAGAAGGAAAAGGAGCTGACACCATTGCTACAGCAATCAGCAGGCAGGGAAGCCTGATCTGACTGCCCCGTGCGGCAAACCTGCCCAGGAGCTGCTGGCGGAGCAGGGTGCACGCTCGCCCGGGCGAGGCTGCACGTGGAGTCTCTCCCGCGCCGCGTGCTTCAGCCCGGAGAGGAGTCCTTTGGGGTGGAGGGTGTGCCTGCCCCGAGCTGGGCAGGGGGCTGCACGCCACCAGGATGTGATTAAATAGCAGAACCTGCTGCCTCATTTCTTTTCCTCTCTGCTATTCGCTTTCTATCGTCATCCCTCTTGCATTTCCTCCCCTCTCCCTCTGGGGTACCACAACTCACCGGGTGTGTGTTCCTGGCTCCCTTCCCTCGCAGCCTACCTCTGAGGTTTTGGGTCAACATCCTGAAGAACCCGCAGTTTGTCTTCGACATCGACAAGACCGACCACATCGACGCCT